ACTATTTGTTTGATTCATTTATATATGGATTATAGCCCGTAGCAACGCACGGGCGTTCTACTAGTCAAAGTAGGAGTCCGGCTTACTCTTTCTAAATTTATTTATCTTTTCTGTCCATCTAAACAACTCCGATTGTTTTTCCTGTCCACCGCTTTTGGTTATGCTTGAAAAACATATGTTTGTACGTGACACATTCAATTGTTTCTATGTAACATTATTTATATCTAACATTTATATCTTTAATCTCGGCCATTGATATCTAAAAATTAGTGGTCAAGATAATTTAATCTGTGTGGATGAATATAATGGCTTGTTTGCCACTTGTCTTGATTATATAATAGATTTCCTTCATAAGTTCTACTCAACGGAAAATTTACTTGTTGGAGTTAAATGCCAAAAGGCTCGTAAGAGGAAGCACCTTTTTTCTTCGGAAAAGGACCCAAATCTATTATAAAGATTCATAAGAAAAGTACAAAGCACTCTAAACATAATAAACATTACACCAAGGATGCTACATCACAACCACTACCACCCAAAATGATGTGCTGACGCGTTGTTGTCGCCGCTTCCCTATCTGAGCCGGCTTGACCTTGTCGATGACTGTCGGGAAGTCTTCGTGCACGTGTCATTAAGGACCAGTGCCGCACCGCAATCATTTTCATTGAACCCCTGACTTGATCTGAAGAGCCTGAAACTAAATCTTGTCGGCACGCACGCCTGGAGAGAAACCTTAACCTTTCCGTCCCAAGGAGATGATAGGAATCTATGTCGCAACTCCGTTGACTCCGTCCCAGTGGACCAACTCAAGGAGGATGCGACCCAAAATACCAACTCAAAGATGAAATGTCGCCATCCTCTAGAACGTTTTCTCTGAAAGGGAAAAAATCCTAACCTCAAATGCCGGCTGAAGTTGAGGCACCGTAAACACCCTCCCACCACTAGTTGCCTGAGCGGGATCTACGGGCTCGCTGGCGAAACTTGAAGGGAATGAGTGCCTTAGCATTCACAAGCGGGAGTGGGAAAGACAAAGCCTAAGGAAAAAGAAGCAATTTTGATCTCTTAACTATTAATTATGAAAGTCTAAATTTTGTGTCCCATTTTGAAACCAGTCATAGATTGTTCCTCAACTACCAAAATGTTCTAGGTTTGGTCATTGTCATGATTCGAAGTGATTTTAGGGTAGCGTCAGTGCGACTTTGCACACATGGTAACCTAGCCAGGGAAAAAATTGTGGCGGGACAAGAGGATATATTTTCAAGAGAAATCTTCCTGAAAATTCTGGGAATGGGAGCACAAAACTAGGAAGCAAATTTAGGAACTTAAAAAATATGGAGAATTATGAAGAAAATATTTTGCCAAAATTTCAAACTTGTTTGAAAATATATATTTCTAAAAATAAACTAATAATCATATAATAGGGCAAAAGGTAAAAGTAAAATACAAATACTTAAGAGAATAGGATTAAGCCTCATCTTCCGGAATATATTGATCCTGCACAACAAGGATTTATTGAGGGTAGAAGAATTAGCGATAACATCATTATTGCTCAACAAATTACTCACTCCTTCGCTCTTAAATCTTGGAATCATCACGCTTTCATGCTCAAGATAGATCTTGCCAAACCTTTTGATCGTCTTGAATGGAGTTTCATTGTGTCTGCTCTTGCATGTGAAGGACTGCGTGGTCATTTTATTAATTTGATTAATGCTTGCATTTCTTCTCCTACTTTCTGTGTGCTTATTAATGGGCAACCCTCTCATAAATTTAAAAGCTTCATAGGTATTCGCCAAGGCTGTCCCATGTCGCCTTATTTGTTTGTTATTGCTATCAATGAATTGTCTGTTGCTCTTAATGAAGCTGTAGCTGCTCATCATCTCCAACGTATTTCACTTGGTCCAAATTTCCCTTCTATTCATTCTCTATTGTTTGTTGTTGGTTTGTGGTCAAGCCACTATGCAGGAAGCATATTCTATGGCTCAACTCATCCATCACTTTTGTTCTATTTGATGTCCAACCCCAAATTGGGCCAAATCTGCTATTCTTTTTAGTACTCATGTTAGTGAAACCACTATTCAAGAGATTAAGCAAGTTTTTCCTATTTCTACCATGGATATCAATTTCACCCACCTTTGTCATCCGCTTATTCTTCTCGCAGAAAATAGAACTACTGCTTACAACTTTGTTATTGATAACTTTTTTAATAAATTTCTTGCTTAAAAAGCTAATATGTTCTGTCATGTTGCTAGGCTCGAGCTCATTAGGTCCGTGTTCTCTGCTATTCCTATGTACTTCATGCCTAACATTTTGTTTACCAACAAGTTTATAGCTAAACTCGCTGTTGTTATAAGGAACTTTTGGTGGACACGAATCAGAGACAATAATTCTAAAAAGAGCCTTTGTTTTAGGGCTTGGAAGGACATTTGCAATTCCAAACAGGATGGTGGTCTTAGCATTAGGAACTTGCAAGCAATTAATGAGGTTCTGGTTCTTGCAGGTGCTTGGAGGCTTGCTAAAGACCATTCCTCCCACCTTCATCTTGTGCTCAAATCTAAATACATCCATGATGCCTCTATTTGGACTGCCAATTCCTACTCCAAAATCTGCTTTCTGGTCCTCCATTTTAAAAATGTTGCCTAAACTCAAAGCCCGCTCTTTTTACCAACTCACCCAAGGGAATATATCTCTTTGGAGTACCCCTTGGTGTTTTCTTTGGGCTTCTATTCAGGACAATCTTATTATTCAGCCTCCAGGATACATATATCCTTCTCTTGTTAAGGATCTTTGGATGCCGGGTCAGAAAGTCTGGAACAGTAACCTCATTAACTTTTTCTTTCAACAACCTCGAGCCTCTGTTGGATATATTATGTTGGGATCTAACTCGTAGTGGTACTTGTTCTTTCAAATCCACTTATAAATTGTGTTTGCAGGATATTCATGCCAATCCAAGAAATACTCCTTCCCAAGTTTCTTTTCAGGTGAAAAATCTTCTCAAGTTGATTTGGAGCAAAAGTTAATGATCCCTAGAGTTCAAACTTTCGATTGGAGACTCCTTCGAAAAGCTCTTCCTACAGGTTTGAGGGTCGGGCGCTTTTCCATACATATTTCTTAATGTTTTTGCAGATGTGGTCAGCAAGAGGATGAGATTCACCTGTTTTTTCTTTGTGACTTTGCTAGAGCTGCTTTCTCATCCTTGGTTCATTAGAACAGATGATTTAGTTCAGAAATATCCCAATATTCAAAGTATTATTCTTTCTTTACTTAATATGAACTATCCACATGCTTCTGTTGTCAACATTCTGAATTTTATGTGGTGTCTTTGGAAAGTGAGGAATGATTATCTTTTTGATAGAAAGAAAGCTGCCCCTGACCAAGTAAATATTGCAGCTACTTCTCTATCTCCTGATTTCTGTAATCTGCTTAATAATTCTTCACACCATTAGTCTCAAAACTCCAGTTGTATCTTAACCCATACTAATCAACTTCCCTTGCAGGGACAAATGCTTAAATCTGATCTTCTTATCAGAGGACCGAAAGTATATACTGATGTAGCTTTGAAGTGCAAAAAAAATCCAGGTTTATTGCAGGGAACATCAGCCACTCGAGTTGGTATCTACATTCTTTGCCGCAAGATCAAAAGGAAGCCAACGTGTAGATTCAAGCTTCCACCTCCATTACAAGTACACCTCTTCAGGCTGAAGCTTTTGCTCTTATCTTGGCTGCACAAGTGGCCAAATGTCTCAGCATCAGCCAGCTGACCTTCCTCACAGACTATCTCTCTTTGGCTTCATTTTGCGGCTAGTATGAAGATTACTGAAACTACTACCCCTTGGACTATCAGGAAAGTTTTAGGTGATTTCTTCTACTACTCTTCAGACCTTCAACCTAGGTGTTCCATATTTCCAGGGAAATTAATGGTATTGCTCATAATGTCGCTCATCAGGTTCTTAGATCAAATGTAGAACCTGACATATGTTGTTTTGCTTCAGCTCACGGGAACATGACTTGCCCGGTAGTTTCTCTCCTATCTAATTTCCAGTTCAAAGGCTTTGTAATCAATGTTGTACATTGCTATTGAGCTGAGCTGAATGGAAAGTTTGGCGCTTCGTGCGCCTTTTGTTGTTTAAAAAAATAAAATAAGAGAAGGCCATAATTTTGGAAAATTCAGAATATTCAAACTTGACAGAAAACTGATAACTATAAACAAGGTTCTCGATTCATTTTGTAAAGTACCATAGATAATTTCCACTTTCTACTAAGATATTTTTACATCGAATTTTAATTCATGCACAAAGTATATATTTTATCGTTTGTTGAATATATTGTCAAGGCTCTTTGTGGAAGGTTACATACTTAAATACGATGTCTTGGTGTTGTAACATAAAAGTCGCAACTGTTTAGAACCAACATACATTCTAGTAAAGCCAGAGAACAATTTGAATCTGTCATTTATGGAGTTTAACAGGCTAATTTTCCCTGAAGACAGAACACTTTTGTTCCTGTATTTCCCTGAAATTTTCCATAAGGTGATGACCATGCACAACTAATTATACTGTTATTAAAAGAGCGCAAACAATCAGCAAATAAAATAAAAGGCAAAGCTTAGATAAATAGCTCCAGCTTTGCAGAGAAACAGTTTAAGTACCACCATCACCATCTGTATATGTTATGTTACAACAACATGCCATTACATCTGCCACAGGACAGAAAATTAAAAGGGCTAACAGTTTTCAGTCTCAAGTAGGTTACAGCTAACAGCTTTCTCTTTTCCCTCTCTCCCTCTCTAGTTCTAAATTTCTACAGCAGAGTAACAACAAGCCTGTAATTACTCATTCTCCACATCTTTACTCAGCTAGCTACAGAATCTACATTCTCCTCGGCTCCTATTACTCATTTTATTTCCAATGGCAAGGCGCACGCATAGCCCTGACGCCTTGTAGATGGAAAAACGGAGACGCCAGCGTGCAAACCTAGCCACTGTTAGCTGTACAGCTAGAGATGGTTTAGTCTTCAGGCAGCACACGGGATGGTTGGAGCCCGAGTCGCTTTTCTGCGAAAGAAGAGTGCATCTTTGGGTTAGAGACACAAACCGTTTGTAGATGCCAACCTAAGAGTATAGCACATGGATGATTGAACAGAACATACCTCCGGCTGCGACGAGCTTCTCCACACGTGCCACTATGTGCTTCCCATATGTGTATTTCTTCAGCGTGTTAAGATGAGCTTTGATCCTCGTGAGGATCGCCTCCCTCTGCTGGTCGTCGCAGGTCTCCAACACCTTCTGTACCACGTAGTTTGCAAACTGATCTTTCATCATCACCTTCAAAGTTCAATACAAAAAACACTTCAGCAAAGCAATGAAGGAGCTTGAATCATGAACTACCAACTGATCATCAAAAATACCATGGAACTTTATGTTCCATAACAATAACCAAGCATATATGTCAACAAATTGACGGGCAACAGACCTCAAGATGTTCACTTTCCTCCGTGGAACCAAGCATTTCACCAATTAAGATTTGGCGTTCTACAGGATTCCCAAAGGATAAACACTTCTCAATGACGTTTGAGGCAAACTTTTGCTGGCTCATTTGTACAATCTGCCCAATCAACTTCTCAATGATAGCAGATCGCTCATGGGGTTTGCCGTGTTCCATAACATGCTGTGAAATAAGCTCGGTTATTGAAGAATGAAGATGGGAGAGAGAATAGTGGTAAGAACAAAACACGTTTTGTAGAAAAAATGCATCCATACACATAGGGAAAGTGCAGGCATCAAAATCGTCCATTTCAATATGCACGCTTACCGTGTCACTTGTGCAACTGCAAAACTACTTACTTGAGCTTGATTGTATTTTAACCTAGACTAAAAAGAAGTGATCCCAGAACAATAGGAGAAATGCATCCCAGTTACAGCATGTATAGCATTCACCTTATTTGCAGATGTTAATGCAAAAAATATTGACTCGAGTCAGTAAAGGTAAAAGGGAAAGGAAAATCATACTCACTTTGCTGAGTACTGATGAAAAAACACAGTAAGGCTAAAACTAATATGATTTTTCCACGCAGGAATTTCATCCCAGCTGAAACCATCAAGATTACTTCTAATCATTTTAAGATGATAATATGGTCCTATTCCAGTTACCAAGAAACTTACATGTAATTGTTGAATATTTGGATCAGTTCCATTTAGCCATATGGCTTGTGTTTTGCACAAAATAGATAATACCAGGTTTCCATTAATCAATCGCATCAAGTCCATAATTCATCAGATGTGGATTGTTTCGGAGACAGGTACCCACCAAAAGGTGATAATCCAGAGAAAAGCAGCCATCAATAAGGAAATAGCAAAGACAGTGCTACCTCTGTAAGTAAATGTAAGACGTTTTAGGTCACTAGTAGTGACCTAAAATGTCTTATATTTGTTTACAGAGGGAGTATCTTCCAAAAATGTTTTTGGCACTAACCTGCACAACATAGTTACCATACTGGTCTGTAGCAAGCAAGCAAACAGACTGGAGGACCTCATCCATCATTATTTGCTGGGTTTTAGGATCGTCACAGTGCTCCAGCACCCTCTGCACACAGTGAAAATGGTTAGTGAAATTGTGAAATAACATGAGTATATTGCAATATACCACTACAAAGTACAAACATACCTGTATAACCCGACATCCATATGGATGAGTCGATAGCACCACAACTTGGCCATAGAAGGTTGAAACAATGAACTCGATGACATTCTGTGGGATGCATTCGATGCATTTCTGTATAACGTGGTTACCATTTTGATCACGTACACAGCGCATCACATGTCCATCAAGCTCAGCAACCATTTTAGTCTGCTGACCTAAATCAACAACTTCTATGGCCTGCACAAATATCGCCCATCACATAAGTTAAAGAACATATTGTCTGCATATTTATGTCCTTCATGTTTTATATGAACATGTAACGGGTTTCCTTTTGTGCATGCAAAGTGGGTAGAATCAAACATGCCTGCAACCATCCAATATGCATTAGATAATCAGAAATGCATGCATATAATTAAACATAAGGTACTTCTTGTTCTAAAGAGTTCTGTTGACATAATCAGACAATTTCCTGCCAAACATAAGGTAGCTTGTAACTGTATTCTAGGTGGTGTCATATATTCCATACTCAAGCAATCAATTTGTCATATGTATGAATATCATGGTGCAGTTTCGTCAAGAAGAATAGTTCCAGCTAGACATATTAGAAGAAAGTACAGCAGTTCAGAGGAGAGTGTTACTTCCAAAATGAGCCCTTTAATTTACTACAGGGATATTTTCTAGTCTTGACTCTTGACTAAAGCACAGACAATAAACAGGTTCTAATTTTCCATACCTTCTGTATAACTCGGCAACCGTACATTTGAAGGCTGAGTGCCAAGACTCGCCCGATTAGCTGATCAGCCAACTCCTTTATCTGAGCCGTGCTCCCATGCTCAAAAAACTGGTTCAAAAAATTATGGTCAGGCCAGGATGTTTATAGCACTGCGACATATAATTGCTATGAATAATTCAATACCTTCTGAACAACATAATTTCCAAAAACATCAGTCATCAATGTGAGAGCTTGAGGCATGATTTCAGCGAAAACCATGTCTTTTTCTTCAACGCTGGCAGTTTCAAGCTTTTGCTGTATGAACCGACTCCCGTATTGATCAGCACTGGATAAAGTTCAATAGACAAGTTAGACCACTAACCTAAATCTGTGAGACAAGAGATCATTGTGCATGATTCCTCAACAAAATATGGAAGGTCGATGGCCAATAATATAGGTAACTCTGAAATTACTGATCTTGGATTTGCAGTTTAGTAGGTTACTATATATAAGAACCCAGTGAGTACAAAATTTACCTGAACTCAACAACATGGCCAGCAATTTCACAGAGCTCATATGATCGGCTTTTGTTGCTCTTGAATTCTTCCAGAAGTGATGGAACCAAATTGGCATTCATCTTACCACCAAAATCTGAATTCCAGGAGCCATAGGAACCACCAAAGTTTCTCATACTGGACTGAAAGCGCATGCTGCGATCCACATGCCTAAGTGGACTACCAGGTCCACCTGGCGAAGTGGGGAAAACAGGATTTGTCAAAGAGTTCCCAGCATAACCAAGACCAGACACAAGATTCCCATAATAGTCATATTGCTTCTGTGACTGAAGCAATGGACCAAGATAATCATTCTGATGACCAAATAGATCCATGTAAGAACTTCCCAGGTTACCCCTCTCCATCAATGGGTCCTCACAGTTGGCTGCAAAAGCAGCAATTTCTGCTGCCCGAAGAAATTGAGCATAGAGAGGGTCAACAGGCAACTGATGACCAGATGTCGCAGTTGGACTTCCAATTCCACTGTAGTTTGCAAGGTTAGCTAAATTATGTCTGGAAGATAAACTCCCACCAGGCGACCGGGAACCAATCCTTGGGGAAGAAAAGCCGGACCCCAGGGATGAGTTGTCAAATGATGTGAATCCACCAGCATTGATCTGATTCCTCATAATAGAAGAATTCATAGAAGCTCCAGAATATTCTTGAGGCCCCTTGACATGACCTTGTTCAGAATGTTTCATGTAGGAGTGCTGTCCATTACCATGTTTGTGGTCCATGTATTGTTCATAGAGAAATTTACGAACACTATCTACATCCTGATGGAGCTTGGATTGGTCAGCATGTCCATTGACTGGCCTTGATGACGACAGGTTCATACCAGATAAAGCAGACACTAGATCATCAGATCCACCAATACTGGGAGAGTTGCGGTTGAAAGAAGATGAACCACCATTGTTCTGGTTACTGGTAGCACTAAGTTTCACACCAATCGGGGGAAGGCAAGGACTAGGAACTCTCCTCACTAGCTCAGGGTCAGGAGATGCACTTCTTGAGAGTGATGACCCTATAATTGATGCATATGTATGTGTCGACTCATGATTCTGATTGCCTGGCAGGTGAGGTGCTTTGCTATCATATTGTAGGCCACCAATAGCTCCAGACTCCTGATGAAGACCATAACGATTTCTAGAACCCGACAAGTCAGTACTATTGCGGTTTGCACCTTGCCTGCTTGTATCATGTTGATAGGAGTCATCCTGCAAAACAAGTTACCTTGAGAAAAATGACAACTGAAGGAAAGACGGATTGAACTATACACAAAGATTATGCCACCCACATGGTTGCATAAGAAACCTGACCCAAATGTTCAGTTTAAGATAGTAGTATTGTGTAAATGCAATGCCATATATGCTTATGAGTCATGACCAAGCAAGTATTACAATGGCCTTCATATCAAATCCATTCTATATGTATAAATCTACAGAGGTAAGGCATTTATCATACCGCATTATTCTAGTCACAGATTTATACTTTCAGATACATCACTCATGCGTAGCAATGGAAAGCTTTCCCGGTAGGAAAAAATCCCCAAATAGTCAAATATACTGGCAGGAAACTTTTGTATAATATTATGCAGCCTATGTGGAACCAGACAAAAAATAACTCCTAGTAAGATGTATCTTATTGAAGAGATGGAACACAAGTCTAGTAACTTCCTATTCAACCAGTTTGCATCGTATTAAGATTTAAGACCAACATACGAGGAAAGGAAGCAGCCACCATTTCATCAATGTAACAACATCCAACAAGATGAAAGTGGGAACATAATGCTTTTGGCTCTAAATAGTCCATTGGTAGACAACTTTTTTTGAGATAAGAGAGAATTGGTCAACAACTTGCGCAGCTGGAAAACCAAGCTTTTTGCATGACCATACCAGAAATACATTTGTTAAAAGGTCCACAACTTAATAAACATAATCAAGAGTCAGAGCTTGAACCATCTGCCACTTCATCCGCTAAACAGTCCACAGGCATATAAAAGTATATGACATATATCACTATCGGTAACACCCGAACAATCCGATTCAGAGACAAAGGGAGCAGCTGGCATATATCACTATCGGTAACACCCAAACAATTCGATTCAGAAACAAAAAGACAGTGAGAGAAGCATATACCCCAATACCTCAGATGAACATGAACTCAGCCACTTGACTGAATGCTAAGAGGCAACAAAACCAATCAAACTAACTGAAAATCTAACCACACGCCGCAACCTCTCTAACAGTTAGCAAGACTTCGTAAACCAGAAATTTAGCATTACAGGGTGGCATATGTATATCCAGAACATGAGCTTAATAGACAGGAGTTCAGACAGGGAGATGTTCTTCAGAAGCATCAGCTGAAAGAGACCGGAGAAGCTATTCTGCCTGCCAATCTCGAGCCCAGGGATCCCAATGAGCACAGGCATCCTCTGAATATTCTACATGCATATAAAAAAAACTACGGCATATATCACTATCAGTAACACCGCGACAACTCGATTCAGAAACAACAAGAGCAGCGGGCATATGTCACTATCAGTAACAAAATGTGCAGTGACAGAAGCATACACCCCAATACCAGCTCAAACAGTGACCATACCTCAGATGAACATGAACTCAGCCACTTGACTGAATGTTAAGAGGCAACAAAACCAATCAAACTAACTGAAAATCTAACTACACGTCGCAATCTCTCTTAACAGTTAGGAATACTTACTAGACCAGAACATTAGCATTACAGAGTTGACATAATCCAATCTCCAATGGCATGTATATCCAGAAGACTGTGACATGTGCTTAATAAGACAGGAGTTCAGACAGGGAGATAAGTATTCTTCAGAAGCACTACCTGAAAGAGACCGGGGAAGCTGCTCTGCCTCCCAATCTCGAGCCCAGGCATCCCAATGAGCCCGTCTCCGGGCCGCCCCGCCCCCGCGCCGCCGCCGCCGCCGCCGGGCCTCCTCCCGTCGCCGATCCCGCCCAGACCGGGGCCGGGGCCGGGGCGGAGCCGCTGCGCCGACCGCCAGTCCTCCCGGGACAGCAGCGGCGGCGGGAGGCGCGGGTTGACGCTGCCGCTGGAGTAGTAGTAGGAGTGGTAGGCCGGGTCGGCCCGGAGGTCGTCGTCGAGGAAGGCGTCGGCGCCGTGGAGCGCGCCCGCGGAGCCCTCGACCGTGGGCGGCGCGGAGCCGCTGCGGAAGAGCTCCATCTCCTCCTCCAGCTCCCGGTCCCGCTCCCCCTCCGGCCGCCGCCACGGCTCCCCCCGCGTCGCCATCTCCGTCACCATCCCTATCCCTCCCCACACGCCCAAAGCCGGCGGCGGCGGCGGCGCCCTAGCAAGCTGCTATGCCACCGCACGGAGCGCCCCCAAGAAGAGAAAAAGAAGTGAACTTGGTAGGATTCAGCGGGGCTAGAGACCGGATTCCGCCATGGACGGGCCGGCCATTGCCGCAGTTGAGGAGGGTGTGAGGGGAAAGGAGGAGAGCGGAGCAAAGCCGCTGCCTTTTTTTTAAACGGAGAGGGGAGTGAGAGAAGTCGCTGTCCGGGTGTGCGGCCGGGTTAAGTACGACGGCCGGCGAGCTGGGCGCCGTCGGATGGGCGCGCGGACGGGCAGGATCTCGCCAGGGGTGGGGGTGGGGTTTGGGGGCCTAGGGTTTTGCGGGCCGCGCACATGCTGCACGCGCGGCTCGAGCCAACAACGGGGGCAGAGCTTTGCCGGCCGTGGGTGGGGTTTGGTTCCCTGGTTTTGAGTTTTCTTGTTTGAGGCCTTTTTCAGGTTGACCGGCCCCTTTTGTACTATTATGTGTTAAATTTGAAAAATGCATATTGGTTTTGGTATATAATCATAATATGCTTGTATACCGTGTTTGGTAAAGAACATTGCTTCTGCCACAAAACCGAGCACGTATCCACGGTTCGACGGCCTAAGGGTTGTGTTACTGGACATGATGTGTTTTATGGTGCCACTCGAGTTCTTGCCTCTCTTGGTGAGCGAGTCATGGCTTTCGTAATGTTTATTTTGTATGTAAGGAAAGGCTTGTCTAGGTTGTCTACAACCGTACATGACAACGGTGGCGTGAGGACGTTTTTTCCTTTTGAAGGCGTTGTTATGGAAGAAGTCGACTTAGTCGTATGTGTTTTTTTTTCTCATATCTTGTAATGGTTTGGTCATGGTTTACTTTGTTATGTACTCCGCATAATAATTACTAAAACATGATTGTGTGCATCACAGTGATGCAGAGGTCGGGGGTTTTAACCTCCTTTTCAGACAAAAAGTTATGTAAGGAAAGCCAAGATGACGACGAATTCAAATTATTGGATGAACGTTTTGTCTTTATGAGGGTCTTTTTTCACATGCGCATCCCATTGTTATACTTTTTTTGCCAGTAAAGCCAGATGGTTGTTCCTAGAAAAATAGGCGAATTAAATTATGTGCATCATTTACCAAGAAAATCATGTGAATTTTGTTTTAGAGAAGTCAACCCCAAAAACAAAACTAGATTATTCCTGACACATGTCTATTTTTAGTACATCATGGGAGTAAAACACCCTCCCGGTTCCATATACTGATAATGTGATATGAAACCAATGTTGGTGAAGGTCCAAACAAGGTTCAAAAACTAAAAACAAAAGTAAACCTGAAGCAAGCTACATAGAGTTGCCAAGGTTCAAGGTTCAAGTTTTGAACTCTGTTAGTTTTCATAGCAATCTCGAGCATTGTGCTCCCACCAGCTTCCCCCTTCCCAGTTCTTCTTATGCACGTGTGTAAGTATCGCATCAACATTTTGAACAGGTGGTGCTTTTGCAGACGCGATGATATTGTGTGTGGAGCTGAAGGCAACATCCTCACCATCATTTTTAGAGTCACTTTGACCAAGTTCAGAGTCAGCAAAGTCTTCTTCTACAAGTTCCATTTCTCCAAGTAGATTAAAGCAATTGTTGTCTGGGAGAGGATCCTCCGGTTGATGGAGAAACTGTTGTGCAACATGTTTAAACCTGAATTGGTTACCAATTGAGGAGGTAGATTTAAGACTGTCAAAGAGAAATGAAGGAAGGGAGGGACCATTCTCTCCAACTCCATTGATGTTTGGTGGTGCATATTCCTACAGTTCCTTATTGGCATTGTCCTACTTGTCTTTATTGGCATCTTCTTCTAGCAGCTCAGCGTCAATTTGATCCAACTCAGTGACTTCCACAGTAACTCTGATTTGCAATAGTTTGTCCCAGTCCCAAACAATCTATCAGGGTAGATTTTAGTATAGTCTCTATGCCTTAAAGAAAGATCCTAACCACCCGAAAGAAGGATTTGAAATTCCTTTGGCAGTCCACATCTAGTAGAGAGCCAAAGGATGAGGCTATTTATTCTAGAACTGGCACTTCTTCCCACTTAGAGTCAATCCCCTCAAGCTAAAGCCATACATGTTGGAGTTCTTCATAACATTCCAATTATCCTTTCCAAACCTCTACATTATAACATTCACACATTCTTACCAGGGAGTCCAAAAAGAGGTTATCTAGGAACATGCACAACTGGGATATGAGGTAGAAATTTGACTAGGAAGGTCCATTCATACAGGATTTTGATTTTCCAAGGCCATGTGATTTTGTAGATAGCATAAAAGTTGTGTGAAAGTTCAAATTTGTTAACTTTCCCTAGTTCCACATATACAATTCCAACATTCTTCATATTACCACATATTGAGCATTGATACCAGGGACTTCAATGGTAGAAGCCAAGCGTGAGGGTGCATTGCCCACAAAGTTTGTTATCTTCCTAGTATTCTTCCACTTGATGACTGAACATTTATAGGTTTATGGCACTAGGCCTTGTGCTGTATAGGATCACCACAAGTGCAACATATGAAATCAGCATAAGGTTCATTATATCTAGGAGTAGTGAAACGTTTTCCTTGGGCAACTTCTTGTTTGGTTTGGCAACAAATTTATCTCTTCTGTCTTGTTGCAGGTGTTGTTGTAGTTATTGTTCAGGTGTCTAGGACCCTCACCTTGTTGTTTTTGAATGTTCATAAGGAGGCATGATCTGCTGTTGTTGGATATGATATTGATTTATAGGAAAACTTTGATATGCATCATGTTGTTTTGCCCAGATTGATGAGGTGCATGCATTGTTTACCCTCCGAGATGTTGTGCTTGTTGAGCTCCTCCCCACAGTCCAGGGATCATCCATTGATTGAAAGGAGGGGATGGAAAAACTTCCCCTGGTATGCCCAAGGGGGTGCTGCATTTTGGAAGCCAAATTCATGTGGAGCCTGATGCTGACAAAATTGTTGATCAAAGGGAGGCGACCAGATACCATACAAAAGATCAATTGCGATGGAGAACCCTACATATGTCGCAACACAAGAGGAAGTAATAAGTACATCTATACGAGGAGGACTTCACGATTAGCATACACACAACAAGCATATATCCATGGACGGTCGACGAAGTATATGATATTTTTATTGTCTTTTTCTTCTTTACACACATCTTGTCTAGGAAAAAAACTAATAAGCTGCTTCATTTGGTTTTGTGTAATATTGAGATAGGTTTGTATATTAAAAAATAAATTCCGCTGCAATGCATGGGCATGTTTCATATACCTACTAATAAAGGGATTGGTGCTTCTGCCCGTCCGTCACGAAATTGCCCCCAAAATATTACCCACTGATGCAAATTATAGGTGACAAAAAATGTTCCGCGCAGGAGAATCCCTCATCTGGGCGGCCCACGTAGTAAGGACCTCCTATACGGCGCTCTGTGCACAGGGAGAAGAGGCAGCGCCCTTTTGGGCCAGCCCAAGTGCTCTTGGCCTGTTTAATTTGTTTTTTTCTTTTTCTTTTATGTTTTTGTGTTTTTTTCAATTTTAAATAAATTGGGGATTAAAAAGTTTCTGAATTTAGAAATTTGAGAATTTCTAAATAATTTTTTGACAAATCATATAATATTTGTGGATTCAAAAAATATTCATGATTTTTTGAAAAATGGTCGCGATTTAAAAAATTAAATGTTTGGGAAACAAAAAAAGTTCAACAGTTTGTAAAAAAAAGTTTCTATAGTAACAATTGTTAATGATATTTAATAAAATGATCGCCAATTCAAGACAATTTCATGAGTTTTAAAAAATTCCTAAAAATTCGTAAACTATTTATGAATTACAGTATAGTTTATTGAGTCATAAAATATTCACTGATTCAAAAATGATCATGCATTTTAGAAAATGTTCGTTAAATAAAGAAATGTTTGTGAATTTCAAAAGAAATTCCACCAATTTCCAAAAACAAATCCCCCATTCTAAAAAAATTAGCTAATTCTAAAAAATGTTCACAGTTTGATAAAAAAAATTTCAACTAGTATTAAATGTTAATGAATTCAAAAAATGTTTATGATTTTAAAAATGTTACCAAATTTGTAGTCTTATGCGGAGAGAGAGAGAGAGAAAGAGAGAGAGAGAAACGGATGACCGAGACATAGTCTTTCAGAAGCGCTTGCACCTTACGTAACGGGTAGACCGTACCAACGTACAACCCCTACATCAGCTAGTCTACCACTGTAAGAGTTCGCACGACTTAGTCAACTATGCTAGAGCCCATAGTAGCATGTGGCTGCACACGGAAGTTTCTAGCATGAATAATCTCATGATCCCTTTGAGCTTGGGTGGCGGTCCGAAGAAAAACAGGCAAATCCTGGAAACCAGGTACCTCAATCCACCCAGATGTGTATTTAAGTTGCCACCTTAAGTAAACCATTAATTAACAATCTCACATCTGTCATGGATACACTCACTCAATCCACGTCTACTAGCATAGCATGGCATAATAAGCAAACATAGAAGTAACTCCCAAGGGTTTAGAAATAAAACAGGTAATAGGTACTACCTCAACTACTTCCCATGACCCACAGTTTAATTAGATCCTAATCATGCAATGTTTGAGGTTTGATCTAATGCATAAAAACTGGGGATGAGAAAAAGTATGATCAAAGTGTTACTTGCCTTGCTAATGATCCGCGAAACCTAGAGACTCGAAATAACAGGCGGCGCACTCCGTATTCTATCGCAGACAAACAAACAAGCATACAATAAGTACTCATCTAATGCACAGGTAAAACTCAAATAAAAGATCTAACCAGGAAGTTCAACTTAAGAACTCCGGTTTGCAAAAAGAATCAAATCAAACGAAGCAACGGAAAACAAAAGGAGAAAGAAAACAACTTCGTTTTACTAATCTGGATCTAAGTCAAATTTTAGAGAAGAAAAAACTTGTTTAAGTTGGTTATTCGGAAAGA